GGRAAAWTTWRGRGGKTYCRMCKCATCGTCCCGATCATCCACCCCAGGGAATGGTGGGGTAGCTGCCTAATACAGGCTCCACAGATTAGGGGTATTGTAAAAAATCATAACTAGTGCCACTTTATGCCATACTTGACCACTTAATATACAGAATCTCGGTCAAAAATATGTACTTACTTTGGTTTAGGGAGAAAATCATGGATTAAAAATTACTGGAAAGATTGTTCTTAGTTTTATTTGCATGGTCCTGCTCTTGGTGACAGTTCAATGCAGGTGGAGAAGTGACAGCTCACAGTATTTAAATTTATTTTCTTAAGTCTTCAGGTCTTCAATGTCTCTTGGAAGGGGATCTTAGGGAAGGTAGAGGAAATTATGCATTTGTAAGCTATTATTCTCAGCCTTTGTTATTGGAAAAAAATATGCTGTTTAAGTAGACAAGGTTTTTAATTATTTTGTGGAAAGCGTCACGAGTCTCATAAAAATGTTGGAATCATTAATCCCACAGGCATGGTTCCTTTTCTTGTTGTGGTCATTGTGTTTTAGTTTTTGTTTTGTTTTGGTAAGCAGTTAACTCTCATTGACCATTCCCTCCCACCAAAAAGTAGACATCATTTCTAGAGAATATGAAGCAACTTTCATTGTTACTTCTTCATCTTCTTCTTCTTGGGAGAAATGTGTGGGCTATGTCTGGCTTACTCTAATAAAAGTTTTTTGTTTTCACAGTCAAGTCAGACATGAGCAGCCTTCTGAGGTCAGAGCCAGTATCAGCCCTGAATGTCAAGAAAATATGGCAGCGTATCTTGTATGACCAGTGGTTAATTGGCATTGATGTGGAGAATACTGGTGAGAGGTAAATATGGCTTATTCTGAGCAATATGAGTCTATACAGTGGAGGGGAGATGTAGGAACCAAGGGTTAGTGCACTGGCCTCTGGGTTGAGGGGTCTGGGCACAAGACCTGGACTTCACTTTTATGTTGTTCCATGATGTTCCTAGTGAAATCTTTAGTGTTGCTTCATCAAATCTGTAACACACCCTTATCACTTGCTATTACTAAACATTTCAGGACTGTGTGTGATCTCACAGTTGGACTCGTGAGCTGCCAGTCTATGGACACTTCATATTTATCTAAGACTGCATACTGTAGTAACCACAGATACCAACGTCAGCAGCTTAAGAAAGGGGACAGTTCAGAGTCTTTTCAGTTTCCATCCTTGAAGAAGAAAATACTTGAACATACTCAACCTTTGACTGATCTCCAGCAGTTGTCACTGGGAAACCAAACCAGTTTGACAGCTGTATGTTCCCTACCAAGATTTGCATTGTTTGACAGTTGTACCATGAATGTGGTGGTGACATGGAGAAGTTATCATGACAATGGAAGCACTGATCAGCATGCCATGCACTGTGGACAAGTAACATTGTGTGTGGCACAGGTTATGGATAAAAGTCTACAGTTAAACAGGAGTTTGGATTCCAAATCATTGAATCAAGATATTGCAGCCTTGAGATCAGTCTCAATTGAAACAGAGGTAATTGCAATGTAACTTATTTTTAATGCTTGTTCAACAAGAAGCAGAGTCACTCTCAACTATTGTCTTCTGTGAGTCTTGCACTTCTTCTGTGCTTAGCAACCTCCCATTTGCATCCACAACTCAATAGTGTATGCTGTGGTATTTTCCATTTGTTAAAGGGAGCTGTCATTTATCAAAGGCAGGAGGGACAGCTGGTACAATTTTGTTTTTTTAACCAGGATTGGTGCAGTTTTCATATGCCCTATCCCAATTTCTTACAGAAAAAGCTTCACTCTCCCCCTCCTGTGTTCCAAAACCTTTTGACCCTCTCCACGCTTAACATAAATTTTTGGTGACCCTCCCATCTTTGGTTGTATAAAATGTAACAACCCTCCCCTCATTTACACCAACCTTCCCTCCACTTCCTTCATAAATGATAAGTGACTAAGGGATCAGCCTCCTTACCCTCTGTTTTTAGCACTCTCCAACAAATAATCTTGCCTTAAGACATCCTTTTCCCCCCCCTAATACCCAATGAAGTTAACACCTAAACAAAATTAATCTTCACAAAAGAAAATAAGAGAACTTATCAATCAACACTAAAAGAAAAAAACTTGAAACTTGTTATGTCACACAATCTCTCTCTGACTCTTGTTTCAAGTGTTTTTTTTTTTTTGGTTGCAACTGTATGTTTTCCTTTTCATCCCTCCAGCTTGTGTTGCAAAGAAGTATTTCAAAACCTCACCACATCATTGCACTTCTGAAGAGTTCAATGAAAGAGGTGCCAGTTATACAGACAAGAACTGGAGGCCACAAGGACATCTATGGCCAACTCATTTCAGTTCTTCATGAGAGTGGCCCTCTAGGTGGCACTGGAATATTCCCAAAAAATGACCTCCAAGAAGGAAAAGTAACCCTTATTACCAGGTATCTAACTTGGATTGTTTATTTGTTGTTTAAAGGTTGACAACATAGCAGCAGGTGGATGAAAATTTTTCTCAGTCACCTTAAATTTCTTTGCAATTGTAATACAATGTAGAGGTGTCTTCACAAGTTGGTGGTAAAATGTTATGAACCTTCTAGATGTTGATTTAGATTTTGCAGTCACAGGAGAGAATGAATGATAAACAACATTTACGGGTGTGTAGCATTAATTTTCCATTTCCAATTGGTGTAAACTAAGAAATTCAGTTTCCGTTTCCTTGCTTAATTTTGATATTCTTTCCTTTTACTCTATGTCACCGATTATCCTCTTAATGGGTACGTATTCGGCTATCTTACATTGATTATTCATTGGCTTAAAATTGGTCTTCCCAAGGCTGTACTCTACGAAAAACGAAGGGAACCCAGTGCTCTCAAAATGAAATCCAGGGTTCCCAGCATATGCTTTGTATGAAAAAACTAAAATTCCTGAGTCGCCCAAGAGCAAAAGTAAGGCGCCAGGGGCCACAGGGTGCTGCTAGACTACAGCCTTGTCTTCCTCATGAAATGCTTCATAAGGGTTTCTATAAAATTCACTTTTTCACAGAAACAAGGATCAAGTGTTCCTGTTACTACACAGGCTACGGCAAATTCTACCCGACGATGTGCGCATTTTGGCGGATCCTGAACGGGACATTAGTGCTGTTAAAAACAGTTTGACCGCCATAAATCAGGAGATTACAAACTTGGAGCAGAATCTTCGCAACATGCTGCAAAAATCCAGCAAATCTCACCGAGGCCCACTTGTCAGTGATGGGCGTGGCCCTTCACGTGGAAGCGAGGACGGTGATGGCCTTGCAGGTATAAGGGAGAATTTTGAGCGAAAGAGGGCCAGGGAAATGACAGAAAAAGAAGAAGGCGGAAGTGGAATGGATGATTTTGAAAAGTTTTGGGATGATGTTGTCAACGATCAAATGAGAGTTGATCAAGCTGTTGCAGAAGTCTGAGGCAGAAAGACAAGTCGAGGTCACGATGATCAACAATGTCACACTTAGACTGTTTTATTGTTGACACAAACGATCACCGCTATTCTTCTACATAGAAGAAAAACGTTCACTTTACAAATGAATTTAATATCACAGTATCTAGCATCACAGTGAGGGAATTCCCAGGGATTCTCCTAAGGTATAGCCTTCTGGCTTTTAGACTCTAGTGATTCAAAGATTCAACAATAACACTAGTTTGTACTAACCTTCACACTAAGGCGCAATAAATATAATCTTCATAATCCACAAGATTCGAATAGCTAAAATAAAACAAACTAAAAACAACCTAATATTGATGCAGCCCATTTTAACTGAGTGTTAAAACCAAAACCAAAGTCGTCTCAAAACAAAGGAAACGGCGCAAACAGTAAAGTGAAAAAAGAGAAAAAAGACTGTGCGAGGCGCGGAAAAACGTGTGTGAATGAGTTGTGATTGGTTTTAATTTTACATCTGAAGGGTTGAGAGCAAGGCGTCGGGTTTATATAAACCAATCCCATCCGCGCTGTTCAAAAAAAAAGAGGAAAAAAGAAGAGCAAAAAAAAAAAAAGGAAAAACAGCAATTCCGGATTACTTTCAAACTGAATTCTGATAGGGTAAAGACTTGTCGAAGGCCTTAGTAACTGTTCTTATGTAGTCAGGAAATCCGCCAACGGGTGACAGTATCCCTGCAGAATTAAATAATATATTCTCCAGAACATCAGCACTTTATGTAAATAAAGAAGTTATACTTTTCATTGAAGGGATGGACCATCAGGAAAGCAGGTGGGAAGTTAACATATACGAATTTTTTTCTGTGATATCCCTTCCACGATGTTTTCTCACGGGATAAATTTCGGAGCCCAACTGCAAATAACTTTTAGTGCAAGTTTCATACCCAGACTTCACGCAATCAAGCAATGACTTGACACTTGGGAAAGATCTTCCTACGAGACCAAATTTGCCCTTACATGGTTTAACGAACACTTAGATCTATCTCCCAGCCACCTAAACCCACACAAACATTACTTCTCCAATAGTCCATCTCCTTCTGGAATGCTATCACACATTCGCCATTAACACAGCGATATTCAAGGTGAACAATCTCTACACATAGTTTAACCTTAGAACAGTTTAACCGTTTTGTGTTTCCACGCACCATTTGTAAGCATTTTGGAACATCTGAAACCAGGGCGATGCTTTCAGCGAGTCCTGCCAATCACGCGGCATCCAAGGCCACTGCCACAGCAATGTACATCTCTCAGGATGGGGCATCATCGCCAGATGTCGGCCATCCGGAGAGCATAGACCAGCCATACCCTGTGGGGATCCGTTGGGATTGAGCGGGTACTGAGTGGTTGGAACACCGTCGTCGTCCACAAAATACAGGGGAACCAGCTTGTTGGTGGTGACATTCTGAAGCACCCCATCGTTGCGGAATTGGATTCGTCCTTCACCGTGTGCAACCCAGATACCTAGGACAGACCCCTCCATACCACGGAACATCATGGCTGGACTGGACTGGATGGAGACCGTCACGAAACGAGATTCAAAGCGTTCTGAACTATTGTGAGTAAAGCAAACCTCCTGATTGGATCCTCTCGCATGGGTATCCTGCCCTACCCAGCCCAACAGGCCCATCAACTGACAGCCATTGCATACTCCCAAACTGAAAGTGTCCTCCCGGGAGTAAAAGGCGTCTAACTGTGAGTGCACAGTGCTGTTTATGTTGCACACTGCAGCCCAGCCTTTTGCGGAGCCAAGCACATCTGCATAGCTGAAGCCACCCACGAACACGGCACCACGGAATCCATCCAGCTTCACTGATCCATTGCAGAGGTCGTGCATGGTGACATCCCATGCTTCAAAGCCAGCCATGTGAAAGCTTGCCACCATTTCTCTATCGCCATTGCTGCCTTCTTCTCGTATGATGGCCACTTTGGGACGGACATCACTCAGTGGAGATGCAGGAACAGGTTCGAATGACAGTTTGTAATCTGGAGCATGTCTCTTTCTAAGACCAACCTCCTCTTCCTGGACACACCGTGGATTAGTCTGCAAACGCTCAAGCTGAAAACTTGTGGCCTCCCAGATATCTCGCAGATCAACCATGTTCTGCTCCAGCACGAGCTCACCTCCTACTTGAAGTGAAATTATTGCATCCTCTCCCACTCCAACAGCCTTTCCTATCTGCAGACAAGGAACTCCCTTTGCAAGGAAAGCATTGATGACAAACTCAGTTTCCTCTTCACTTACTTCCACCACAATTCCCAGTTCTTCGGAGAAAAGAACATCGGCTACCTTGGTAACCGTTGGACTGAAATTGTCTTGGCATGGGATGTTAATCGACAGGCCACAATTTCCAGCGAAGGCCATTTCCAGTAGGGTAGTGACCAGTCCTCCATCACTAACGTCGTGGCCAGAGAGGATCCTTCTTTCCGATATCAGCTGTTGAGTTGTTCTGAACGCAGCATCAAAAATCTACACACCGAAAAAAGAAAAGATATTCCTCAATCATTCATCACCGTTAAGGAACACAACGGTACAAAACTCTCCGACCTTGTGTAGTTAAATATGCAAACCTCAGCGTCGTTATTGCGACGTTCAGGCGAGAAAAACGGTCTTGGTAAAAACACCAATTAACTCTACGCTGAATATTCATATCATCCCCGATGATGCTGTTGATCGATGAAAGCTTAGATGGTTAACTTTTTATTTTAATAGTAGTATTGGAATAACTAAACCTCCAACATCATTATTACTTGAGTTTTAAGGTCGGCACACACGAGGGGACTAGTCCCTGCGACTAGTCCCTGCGACTAGTCCGTGCGACTAGTCCCGGCGACAAGTCTTTGAAGGGTTTACACGAGGGGACCGGTAGCAGGGACTAGTCCCTTAAGGCGTCNGGCTTATTTACCGTTTAGTCGCAGGGACTGGTCGCACAAACAGTTCCCACGAAGGGACAAACATATGTTTCATGCGACAAGTCGCTGCGACTGGTAGCACGAATTCAAACCAGTTTGAATTCCTGCGACCAGTCGCAGGGACTAAATTTTGGTCCCTGCGACCACAGAAATGTGTAGTTCACACGAAGGGACTAGTCGCATGAAACTGGTCGCTGGGACTAGTCGCAGGGACTGGTACCCTCGTGTGTGCCGACCTTTAAGGATTAGTCGCAGGGACTAGTATTATGCGTTTACCTAGCTAGGGCTTTAAGAGTCATCTCACCTCGGCGTTGTCTAAATCGGGAGATTCGCTGCCAAGCTGATTATAAACCTGTGCCAGGGCACTTCCTCCAAGTCTGTAACTGGAGTCGCTGCCAAATTTGATCCACAACAGGTTTCCCTTTCCATCTGGAATCTTAAGATCTGGAGTGACTGTGGCACGGATATCAGGACAGGCAGCATACACTGAAATGACCAGCGATCCAGGAGATTTGACTGTGTCTTGACCAACCCTGGCAGCCATGCTGAGAGAATCCTTCCCTCCATCTACGGCAACACCTAGGGATGCCATCACTTCACACATGGCTGCGCAAGCATCATACAAGGCAGCTCCCTCGCCTGGTAGCTTGGCAGGCCACATCCAGTTACCACTGCATTTAACATCCTGGTACAGGAGACAAGACGTTGAGCATAGTTTTATTCGGTAGGTTGGATATCAAAAGAAGGCTTGTTTGATCTCAATGTTCAAAACCATGCTCTACACCCGGATAAAACAGACTGAAGTCAAGATAAAGAATGTTTAGCAAAAGAAATCAGCATTCAAGCCAACAGACCCACAAGGCACCGCAGTTTGTCCCAGTTTCTGTAGCATGAAACGACTTGGAGTACTGATAATACCCCGGAAAGGGATACCAGTCCACTGTTGAGTTTCTCCCTACTCTCCCCCACCCCTCCTCCCCCCGAATTTCATCAGGTTTCCATGGCAAGTTTTCGACCACCATGATTGGCTTGTTTCGAAAAAGAGAAATTGAAAATTTCATTTGCCGAGTGAATTCGCCTACACTGCAACTTGTAGATCGGCCCTTCATGTTCTTGTAGGCTTGAAAAGTATTCAGTTTTATATCACGCTCATTAAATATAAAATCATCTTCCAGCCCGAAAACTACAATTCTACCAATTCTCCATGAAGCCATCACACAGATAGAGAGAAGTTCTTTCAGTCTACAGCAGGAGTAAAAATTTTCTTGATCAAAATTACGTCCCGATCTGAGATGTCAGTGAGCCCATGAACAGAATGTAAAACCTTTAAGAGAGGTCATTCTGTGGAATTCAACTCACTATTTCAGTTATTCTGGGAAGCTTTCAGGTTGAATGGTTCACCTAAAATTCACCATCCAAAGCATCTCACTTCCTGAGACTGACGAGGGGCTGACGCTCGGAACGTCAGCTTTAGAAACGCTTTGCGATGGCCAATGCACATTTTTAACGATGCAGTTGATTAAGCCAAGTCTAACTAAAAATAAAAAACGGATGACTTGACAGATAAAAAAGAATTCTTGTTCTGTCGTTAGATTCTGACTTTTCTCAATTTTTAGATTTTTATGGCCAAGAGGACCATTACTTACTGAGACATTTTAATACCAAATCGTTAAAAAAGAAATATCCTAGGACAAACATACCTAAAAATAGTTACTTTTATTGGATTGTGGACGAATGGAACAGTTTGCCTCTTGAGGTCCGTTCGGCATGCAATGTTGACAAGTTTAAAGCTAGTGTTTTTAAATTTGTAACAAAATTGTAAATATTTTTACAATTTTTTAGTGAGTTTATTGTAATTTTAATGAGGTGACTTGTTTTTATATGGGGTCAGGCAACTCTTTTACAAATCAACCTTATGGCAATTTTTCCCTCTTTTTCTTTCTCTTTTCCTGTAAATATGCCATGAAATTGTAATAAATAAATTGAGAAAGATGTCATTCATACAGTACAAGGCTGGCAAGACGAAAAAAATCCGAGCTTTGAACTAGTAATTGCAAATGAGACCTTACGATTTCATGGTAAATTTTAGGTAAAAAGTGTTGACTGTTTCATAAAGTTGTAAAGCTTAATACCTTCAAATCTGATATTCTTGCAAAAACCAAGTTGGTCAGTGCTTCTCCCACAGCCATGCGTGCGCCACACCCTGGGTCAACAAGACCTTTAATCGGCTGCTCCCCTATGGCGGTTGCTGAGCCCACTGTATCAAAATGCGTCAGTGCGGTAACCGCCACGTCGGCCACAGGGGTATGCAAGGGACCCACGCACTGTTGCTGGGCAACCAGACCAGTCACACTGCGGTCAACCTTAAAGCACAATCAAATGTTTCGCCTTTAACATAAGACAAATAAAAACCTAAGCAGCTTTCCAGGTTCCGTGACATTGATAAATTTTACAACGGGTTTCAGTTTCTGAGAGAGAGTTTTAGTAGAACCTCCTCTGCAAAGAACATAACTCACTATGTCTCTATACATTTCCTTGGCTACTGACTAGGAGGATTTGTATAACAATCAAGAATTTCTTGATTTGTAGCTTTTTCCTTGATTCCCCTGACCTAAAAGTTTACAAAACAACAGTCCACCCTGCTCAG